TGGTTTTGAACTTTCCTCCAGTTAGTTTAAGGTCATGTTCCCGTGTTCTTGATTTTGGTTTCATGTTGCGAATCCTGCCCTCCTGCACCTAATTCACCCCCTTGATGTATTTAAATGTTTCAATTTTGTCTTCCCTTTCCCTTCTTTCCTCCAGACTGGACATGTAAAGTTCCTGAAGTCGCTTTTGATATGTTTTAATCCCAGACCTTTCATCATTTTTGTTACCGTCTCTGGACTTGTTCTATCTTATTAGTATCTTTTTGTAGGTGAGGTCTCCAGAACTGGACACAGTATTCTAAATGAGGTCTAACTAAAGATCTATATTGGAGAACCAGGACCTCCTTCCTGCTGCTGGTGATCCCTCTAGTGATATAAAGATCTATATAGGGCATTCAGGACCTCCTTCCTCCTGCTGGTGACCCCTCCAGTGATAACTAAAGATCTATATAGGGGAATCAGGACCTCCTTCCTCCTGCTGGTGACCCCTCTAGTGATAAGTAAAGATCTATATAAGTGATTAAGACCTTCTTCCTGCTGCTGGTGACCCCTCTAGTGATAGCTACAGATCTATATAGGGGATTCGGGACCTCCTTCCTCCTGCTGGTGACCCCTCTAGTGATAGCTACGGATCTATATAGGGGATTCGGGACCTCCTTCCCCCTGCTGGTGACCCCTCTAGTGACAACTAAAGATCTATATAGGGGAATCAGGACCTCCTTCTTCCTGCTGGTGATCCTTCTAGTGACAACTAAAGATCTATATAGGGGATTCAGAACCTCCTTCCTCCTGCTGGTGACCCCTCTAGTGACAACTACAGATCTATATAGGGGAATCAGGACCTCATTCCTCCTGCTGGTGACCCCTCTAGTGATACAGTGAAGGAAATAAGTATTTGATCTCCTGCTGATATTGAATGTTTGCCCACTCACAAAGTATTGATCAGTCTAAAAATCGAATGGTGGGTGTATTGTAACACTGAGAGAACATTATAAGTGGAAGAAAAAAGACAGACAGAGGGGATAGTGCAGAACTGGTGACAATTTGGGAGATGGTTTTGATAATGAGTTTAGTCCAGACATGGGGTTCAGGTGACTTATAAAAATGGGGCAGGACGATATTAAGCCAAAATGGGTTATTCAGGGAAATGGCTAATTTGGGGTAATGTTAGCATGTTAGGCCAGCTCGCTAGACTCGCAGGGTGGTAACCATGGAGGGCATCAATGGGTAGGGGAATTTTACAAATATTTAGAGAATGAAAAAAAAAAATTTTATGAAGAACCCCCCTTACATCAAGGAGAGCCCACCACCAGAGTCCTCCCTTACATCCAGAAGGCCTAGCAGGGGGACTGGGGAGGCTCATAGATCGCTGGCAATGGAGGCGCCAGTCTCCATATTATGATGCCAGCCAGGCTATTGTGACGGGCAGACAAAGTGTACAATCACACCACTTTAGCGGCACTTTTGAAGCATTTTTTATGTGCATTTTTGTTTAGGCCAATAGTAAGCAGGTTACTAGGAGGAGATAAAAATGTATTAGGTGCATTTTTTCCCGGAGCTCCCTTCAAAGTTTATAGGGCCAAAAATGTGCAGTCCTGCCTCAAAGAAGTGATTTAGCTGCACTTTTGAAATGTTTTTACACACAATTTTTGGTTAGGTCAACCTGACTGCTAGGCCCCTTTTACGAGGGTGGACTCCATTTTGATCAGCAGTGGATCTGTCCTCTGATTGCCTGCTGAGCAATGCGGGCAAATGACAGGTCCATGTCTGTTTAGTGTGCAGAGTGGACATGGACACAGCCCGCTCTGCTGTCTGGGTGGCCAGAAGTAAATGGACTCCACTGTCTGTTCACACCCTTCACACCCAATTGCCTTTTGATCTGATCCACCTAGATGGAGGGTCCATTTTATTTAAGCGAACATGAACAGACTGGAGATAGGGGGGTACGGTCTATAGGGGAAAAAGGACCGTACAGTCAGGTCCACCTGAAAAACTGACTTAATCAGACCCCTTGTGTGAAAGGGGACTTAGACAAAAAAAGTGTATTATGTGTGTTTTTCGGGCACTCCCTTTGAAGTCTAGGGGGTCAAAAAAATGCACAATCCTGCCTCAAAGAAGCGTCTGTACTTCTTTGGTGTGACAACTACAACACATCTGAAAGGGCCCCATGTAATAAATACCAATACCAGGATTACAAGAGCACAAAATACAGAAGGGGTGCTCAACCTTTTGAAGAGTGAGGGCCCGTTAAAGCAGAACTTCGGGCAAAACCTTCATTACATGTCCATATTGCTGATTTCCTGCCTTCACTGACTATGTCATTAATCTTCCGGTTCATTCAGCAGCTGCCCTGAAATAGCCTATTAATTTTCAAATCCAACCATTAATTCTCATTGGTTTCCTGTTTGTAAGACCGGTAGCTACTATGCCTCCTATTCCCCCAGACATTGGTCTTGGCACATTCCTTCTGTAGTTCTTTCTCCAGGAAGCAGTGATGGAATCTACCCCACTTGCAGTACTGGGCGGACCGAGACTCTCAGACACATTCAAATTGTACAGGCCTAGTGTACCCGCTCACATTCACTACAATTCCCTGTGGTTGATGGGAACTGTAGTTTCCTTTTACTGAAGAGAGATAGGAGAGGATATGATGTAATCCCTGCTTATACACCTCCTCTTTGACAGAGCAGATGCTGTTATCTTTAGAATTACAGAGATGAGGTCATGAAAATTCAATCAGACTTTTCTCCTAAATGGTAAGGATTTTCAAAATTGTATTAACTGTTAAGTGTTTTGTGTAGGGGGGTACTAATGGGTGATTTTTTGCCTATCCCCGAGTTCTTCTTTAAGTGATTAGGTAGCTGGTCGTGGGTCACAATAAAATGAAATCGTTTCGAATAGCATAATGAACATTTTCTTCCTGCAGCTGCTGAATGCAGGAGGAAGAGGAGGAGAAGCTGCCTTTCAGCAGGAGGAAAATAGAGCGGATCAATTCCTGTGTATGTTGGCCCTCCTGTCCAAGTGTAAAACAGAATGTGACAGGGAGGCTGCATGGGCCAACTGGAGCATGGGCCAAGGTCACCATTGTTACCCCTGACCAGGGGCGGACTGACCATTTGGAAACTAGGGCACTGCCCGAGGGCCCGGGGTCAGTAGGGGGCCCCATGAGATGCCCCTGGTACCTATTTCATAGGCTTTTTTGAGTTTGGGCAAGGACACAGGGGCCCCATGATCCCCTATTGCCCGGGGGCCCATGAGTTGTCAGTCCGCCCCTGCCCCTCTGCCCCTGACGCTACATTAGTGGTTGGGGGGGGGGGGTTTGAGAGGTGGTAAAAACACGTCTCAACTAGGGGTTTTACCACCCCCAAAAGTGTAAATGTAAACGAGCCCTTTCTGTCCTGAACCCCCTATAAGGTTGCTTTCACACTGATGCGCTGCGGTTTTGCTGCAGGTTAGCTGAGCTTTGCCATCGACTTCTATTATGTCTGGCGGGTTCAGTGTACTTTCTGAAAGTGCACCAAAACTCCTGCTTTCAGTTTGAGGTCGAGGGCCACATCAGAGGGCTCCAAGGACCATGGGTTGAGCACCCCTGAATTACAGGGTAATTATTGCTGCAGGTCTTCATATATGGAATGTTTTGTGATCAAAAGTTTGTGGACACCCTAACATCACAACCAGGGCCATGCCAGTGGTGGATGGCACCCGTGTTGGCCATTTTTGCTATTCCCCATGACAAAGATGGCCGCCTCAGGTGATAGTACATCACTCAGATGATCACACCAATTTGAGCTTGCTGGACCTTCTGTTCCAAAACCATAAATGTTAAGGTGGAGCACCCCTTCCCCCCTTCCTCCTTTGTGGCTATATACAGGCCATTTCAGACAGAGTATTGGCTGGGTACATTTTCTTTGTCAGATGTGTCAGATGATGAAGATTTCCCTGTAGAGTCACCAGGAAGTGAGAGGATATCTTTGAAATGTGATGGATATCCCGTCTTAGAAAGTTGTGATAAGAACAAATAGCGGGTTTTAATAAAACTAGAGCACTCCGAATCTGGTGTAGCTGTGCAAGTAGCCAATCAGCTTCTAACTTCGGCTTGTTCAGTTATGCAGGCCATAGACGGGATGAAAATTGGGCGATTTTCGCACCGTTAGTGGATTAATTGGTCGGCTGTTTTTCAGGCTTTTTGCACATTTTTTTTATTGGGCATGTTGGAAAATTTGCGGCCAATTTGATGATTGGCCGATTTTCCCAGCAATGATGGGCAAATTGGCCAATCGTTTTACTGATAAAAAATCTGAGCCGTGACCTGGAAGAAGAAGGAGGAGGAGAAGTATAATTCCAGTCCACTATTATATTTTATATGAAAAAGTCTTGCGGTTGCAACAATGTATCCATTTGTATCCGAATAAAAACATCTGTATCTGAAATGGATACAAATGGATTCATTGTTGCAACCGCAATACTTTTTCATATAAAATATAATAGCGGACTGGAATTCTCCTTTTTCTTCTTCTTCTTTTCTTCTTCTTATTATTCTTATGTATTGCTCCCGTGTGTGCTCCCCTGTCTCTGCAAGAGACAGAAGTAATTATGGGGTTAAATGCCGGCTATAGATGGGACGAAAATCGTTTTGATTTTTTTACCGTTGGCGGTAACATATGCCGATCGAACGACCGATTTTTTTTTTCTTTTTTTTTAAACGGCTGGTTTTCGACCCGTCTATGGCCGGCATTAGGCTTTAGCAATAAAACCTGGAAGCTGATTGGTTTCTATGCAGAGCTGCACCAGATTTTGCACTCTCCAGCTTTAGTGGGCAGCACAGTGGCTAAGTGGTTAGCACTTCTGCCTGGCAGCCCTAGGGTTGTTGGTATGAATCCCAACCATGGCACTACCTACATGGAGTTTGCATGTTCTCCCTATGCCTGCATGGGTTTCCTCTGGGTTGTCTGGTTTCCTCTGGGTTGTCCAGTTTCCTCCCACACTCCAAAGACATGCTGGTAGGCAGGGGCGGGCTGACCATTTGGAAACTCGTGCACTGCCCAAGGGCCCGGGGTCAGTAGGGGGCCCCATGAGATGCCCTTGGTACCTTTTTCATAGGCTTTTTTGAGTTTGGGCAAGTACATGGGGGCCCCATGATCCCCTATTGCCCGGGGGCCTCATGAGTTGTCAGTCCGCCCCTGCTGGTAGGTGAATTGTCTCCTATCTAAATTGTTCCTAGTATGTGTATGTATGAGTGAGATAGGGACCTTAGATTGTACACCCCTTGAAGGTTAGGGACTGATGTGAATGTAATATATATATATATATATATATATATATATATATATACTGTAAATATATGTAAAGCACTATGTAAATTGATGGTATGATGATGATACAAGTGCCTGTAATAAAATAACCCCCAAAGTGTCCCCATTGCAAGATTTTTCCTCTACTGCTGTTCTAGTAGCAACTCAAAATTTAGGATTTACCCTCACTCATTCTCAGTAACTTTGGTGATTAGGACAATTAGAGAGATCGAATCTAAAAAATAACACACCATTACCCACTTGCCCTCCAGAGGATATACCCCCCTCCCTGACCAGGCCATTTTTTGTGATACAGCACTGTGGTACTTTGACTGACAATTGCGCAGTCATGCAACGCTAAACCCAAATTAAATTTACATCCTTTTTTCCCACAAATAGAGCTTTCATTCGGTGGTATTTGATCACCTCTTTTTTATTTTTTCTGCTATAAACAAAAAAAGACCAACAATTTTGAAAAAAACAAACAATATTTTTGACTTTTTGCTATTAAACATGTCCAGTAAAAAAATTAAAAAAATCAAATTTCGTCATAAATTTAGGCCAAAATGTATTCTGTTCCACATCTTTGCTAAAAAAAAAATCCCAATATGTGTAAATTAATTGGTTTATGTGAAAGTTATAGCGTTTACAAATGGCGGTATTTATACTGGAATTTTTTTTTTTATACTAGTAATGGTGGCCATCAGCGACTTACAGCGGGACTGCGGCGGGTATTCTGACACTGGGGGGAACTGACTTGGTGTCACCGACATCCCCAGTGACACCAATACAGTGATCAGTGCTAATAAAAAGCATTGACACTGTACTAAAGGCACTGGGAAGGAAGGGGTTAACATCTGGGGTGATCAAAGGGTTAACTGTGTGCTATTTTACTATAGGGGCTAAGTGTGTTTTTCATTATAAGCACACTACTTTGTATGTGGGACCCGGTGATTGACAGCCAAAGCCACAAATGGCGGCGTGGATAGGGCTCACGTGCGCCCCCTACCAGGAACTGCAAAATTATGTATATAATGTGATTTTGCACACCCGTGCCGCCCTGTGGCAGTATATCTGCTATAGGGCGGTGCGGAAGCGGTTAATTGCAAAAAACAGTGTTTTTGCTCCAATAAACTTTAATGGAGACGCTGCTGAAAGGCATGTAGCGCCTTGTTTTTGCTGCGTTTTGCATCTTTATTCTGCCGAGCGACAAAAAGAATTCCCCTTTATCAAAAAAATAAACCAAAAAAGTTGAAAAAACACAAACCGCGGCAAAAAAAAAAACATGCATGTAAACATGCAAAGCGAAATGCAAAAAGCATTGCAAAAAACAGATAAAAAGCAAACTGCATAGGTGTGAACAAAGCCTAAAACACACCTTTCCAGCACAACAAAAGCACAAGAAAATGATTCCCTTTTAAATCCTATGCAACTGTTCACATTGCTGTGCTTGTGCTGCATTTTGAAAAGCCCTGCATGCTGCACCATTGGTGCACTTTTCACAAGAGCACCTAAAACTCACCTCTCATTAATTTCTATAGGAAATGCATCAAAAATGCATCAATAATGCACCCGCGGTGCATTTTTGGTGCGTTTTTTGAGTCACTTGTCCAAGTTTTATTGATGCATGCTGGGAGTCAGGAATCCAGAAAGCGCACCAAAAACACATGAAAAATTTATCAGAACACGATATGTGTCTTTGCAAAACACGTACCGTGATTTTAAGTGTACCAGGTAATGGGGATACTCATGTGGTGGGGGGGGGGTTGTGATCGGAGGGGTTTTGGATCAGGGAGTGCCTGAACTCTAGACTTTCCTGGCTGTAGACTCTAGTAGAAAGGCAGCCATGACCTGGCAGGAGGGAAGCTGTGGCCCAGCATGTGTCAGCATCTCAATAACTCCTAAATAACTCCTAATATTAAATTCAAGATACTAACAACGGCTTACAAAGCCATCCACAACTCTGCCCCCAGCTACATCACCAACCTGGTCTCAAAATATCAACTTAATTGTTCTCTTCATGCCTCCCAAGACCTGCTCTCTAGTTCCCTTTTCACCTCCTTCCATGCTCGCCTCCCTGACTTCTTCGGAGCCTCTCCCATCCTTTGGAACTTCCTACCCCAATCTGTCCAACTATCTCCTATTCTGTAAACCCTTCTCTTCAGAGAGGCCTATCCTGTACCCACCCAACAACTGTACATTTATTCTCTCCATCAGCCCATCCCCTATAGTTATTGTCGTTTGTATCTCTTGACCCTCCCTCTTAGATTGTAAGCTCTAAGGAGCAGGGCCCTCTGATTCCTCTGCTATTAAATTGTATTGTAATTGTACTGTCTGCCCTCATGTTGTAAAATGCTGCGTAAATCCTGTATAATAATAATCCCTGGTCACTATATATCCTAACATACAGTACAATATCCATTACTACTCAAGTCTCTTTGGAAAAGCAATTGTATCTCATGAGTAGTTGTATATCATTTTTTCTTTGTTACAGTGTATAAAAATATCTAGTTTTCAGAACCATTTTCAGAACTCTATAATACCTAATAAATTTGGCTCCATGCGCTTTGATTGCGTGCGCTTATACTGGTTAGTGCATTATTTGTACAAATCACTGAGATCACCGCCCAAAGGAAGGAACCTAACAAGCTCATACTCTGAGGACTCGTTCACACCAGAACATGGTGCAGGAAACCTGCGTTTGGTGGGTGTTTCCCACACCATGTTCAAAACGCACTGAGTGTGTGATCTGCTGCGGTGTTGATATATGTGATCTGCTGAGGTGTTGATATATGTGATCTGCTGCGGTGTTGATATATGTGATCTGCTGCGGTGTTGATATATGTAATCTGCTGTGGTGTTGATATATGTGATCTGCTGCGGTGTTGATATATGTGATCTGCTGCGGTGTCGATATATTCCCGATGACACCTCAAACGCAGGTCATAATCGAAATACAATGTCTTGCATTTTGGAAAAGTGGCGCATGCACTACTTTTTGTGCATTCCACTGTGATTTCAGCCTATTCAGATAAATGGGCTGAAAATCGCATCACACTTTAAGTGGCACAGGAACCGGATTCAGGTGTTAACCAGCCATAAAGTCAAGAGGAACTAAAAAGATTATAGATCCCACCAGGGCTCTCTTTAACGCAGGGCAAAAGGGGCAGCTGTGCAGGGCCCAGTCATTGTATTGGGGCCCAAAGTAGGTGGCCCTTGAGCCCGCGTTACCCGCAAATTGGGGGCCCCATTGGCACTGCGGAATGACACTGTAGAAAGGACAGGAGACAAGCAGCAGTGCACTGTGCTGTATATTTTTCCCCAGCGAACGAGGAGTGGGCGGGGCCATGTGCTCCACTGACGCTTTGACTCCGCCCATGCCATGCTGCCTGTCTGCTGGGTACTCCTGTGGATGGTGAGCCCAGGTCAGCTGGACAGGACCATACAGGACCTTCTCCCCATATAGACTGTGAACCAGGGGCGGACTGACAACTCATGGGGCCCCTGTGTCCTTGCCCAAACTCAAAAATGCCTATGAAAAAGGTACCAGGGGCATCTCATGGGGCCCTCTACTGACCCCGGGCCCTCGGGCAGTGCCCGAGTTTCCAAATGGTCAGTCCGCCCCTACTGTGGACTGTTCCTAAACCCTAACCTGGCTGTGGCTGTTGTCATGTAATTAGAGAGCGTGGGCCACCAGTGGCACTGGCACATGACATCTTCCAAACGTAGACATACTGAAACACAACACTGCTCAATGGGCTTATTTTAGCCTGATTCACATCTATGCGGGTTTGAGCAGGCACGGCAGCCTATTCATTTCAATGGGATGCTGTTCCTGCGTTTCCCACAGGAAAAAGCTGCATGCAGCATTTTAAAAATGCAGTGGCCTTGAAATCGCATCATGCAATAAGGCCACTGCATTTTTTAAATGCTGTATGCACCTTTTTTCTGCGGGAAATGCAGGCACAGCAGCCCATTTAAATGAATGGGCTGCCGTGCACGTGCAAACCTGCATAGATATGAACCAAATCTAAAGCGGTAGTAAAATAATTTTTTAAAAATAAAACACTGCAGGTTTAAGTCATATTGAACTAGTATGCACCACAAACCAGCATATGATGACAGACTTACCTACAAAATGAGCCCTTCAGCGCTGTGCTGTCTTGTCTCCCCTTGGCCCTCGGCACATCCCTCTTCTCCCAGTCTTCCTTCCAGGTTCTCTATCTTTAACCGCTTGAATGGCTAGGCTGTGATGGCGTCACTCTTGCGCATGCGCACGGAAGCACATCATTCTGTCACACAACCACTTGCCCTCCAGAGGATTTACCCCCCTTCCTGACCAGGACATTTTTTGTGATACGGCGCTGCGTTATTTTAACTGACAATTGCGCAGACATGCAACGCTGCACCCAAATGAAATTTACGTCCTTTTTTCCCACAAATAGAGCTTTCTTTTGGTGGTATTTGATCACCTGTGCGGGGTATTTTTTTTCATAAACAAAATAAGACCAACAATATTGAAAAAAAAAACAACAATATTTTTTACTTTTTGCAATAAATCATATCCAGTAAAAAAATTTTAAAAATCAAATTTCGGCATCAATTTAGGCCAAAATGTATTCTGCTCCATGTCTTTGCTAAAAAAAAAAATCCCAATACGTGTAAATTAATTGGTTTACATGAAAGTTATAGCGTCTACAGGATTTATAAAGCGCCAAAAAATTTGCTCCACACTGTACATTATAGTGAGGGACAGTACATGAGACAATACAGTAACAATACAATACACGAGGGGTTCGAGGGCCCTGCTCCTTGGAGCTTACAATCTAGAAGGGAGGGGATAGTGGTACAGGAGGAAATGGCTGTGGGGAATGGAGAGGTAGGAGGAGTATATATATTTTTTCTTTAACTGATCTGCTGCAAAAACACCTCAAAAACGCTTAGGCGGTTTTTGCAACATTTTTAGCACATATTTGCCGCATATGACTTAAAACTGTTCCACGTATGCTTCTCAGAGGAGTTTTTCAGGCGATTTCCATTGATTTCAATGAGACGAGGTGTTTTTTGGGCGTTTTATTAACTCCCCAAACATGCCCCAAAGATGCTGCAAGCAGGAGTTTTTGCACCACACAACGCAAGCACAACGCCTCAGTCTGAAAACATACACAGATATACATTCACATACACAGGGAAGCAGCTTTCTTTAGCTTTTCAGGCGCTTTTTTTTACCGCAAAAACGCTTCAAAAACTCCTCAGTGTAAAAGTAGCCTTATAGTGGGACTGCGTCGGGCATTCTGACACTGGGGGGAACTGACTAACTGCCACTGACATCCTAATGATACTAATACAGTAGTCAGTGCTAATAAAAAACACTGACACTGTACTAATAGCACTGGGCAGGAAGGGGTTAACATGTGGGGCGATCAAAGGGTTAACTGTGTGCTGTGTTACTGTGTGGAGTGTGCTTTACTATGGAAACATACTGCTGTGTATTTCTCTGCTGTGCAGAGAAATACACAGCAGCATGGTACTGCTCGGGAGAGAGACCTGTGTTGTCTACACACAGGTCTCTCCCCTGTCAGTGATACTTGGAGATCGCTGGGTGCCAGCAGGGAAGCTCCAGCCAGGACCCGGTGATCGACATCTGCAGCCGTGTGTATATATACATACACATGATTTTGCGCAGCCCTGCCACCCTGTAGCAGTAGTTCTGCTATAGGGTGGTCGGGAAGCGGATAAAGCACTAGGAACACATTGGGAGAGATTTACTAAAAGCTGGTTCACTCAGAGTCTTGTGCATGGTGGTCAATCAGCTTCTAACCTCAGTTTGTTCAATTAGGCTTTAGCAATAAAACCTGGAAGCTGATTGGTTTCCATGCAGAAGTGCACAAGATTCTGATTGAACCAGCTTTAGTAAATAAACCCCATAGTGTGCCTTAAAAAGTCTACACAGAAAGCAGTCAAGCATGGGCGACCTCTGCCCAATTCACAACTTAACAAAATCCACACACAATTCATAAAATCCAACAGGACCAAGGCACATTAATAATAAGTATATATTTGAATGGGGAATATTATACTAAACAAATCAAAGTCATCCATGACTAAGCTAGCACATACATAAAGGGAGAAAGCAGTCTCCTACCTCCTGGGTGACAGACCCATCCGAAATACTCTGTGTTTGGCATCCCTGGACACAAAATATAATGCTGACCAATATTCTACCAGTATCCATAATGCCACCTGTACAACCTGTGGAAGATATTAATATTGGTATAAAATTGTGTGTAAGGGAGGGCTACGATACCGTCATAAAGATGGTGACCTGCCAGCCACCACCCCTTAAATCAGATGATTGGTCAGATGGTCTCTGTCAACAGCCCTTTGTTACGACAGAAAAAGTAAAATGTCAGGACCATCTGACAGCTCTCATTTAACATCAACCAAGGAACACCTAACTGAACTTGACAGAGCCACTGTACCGTTTTATAATTGATCAATTGGACTCCGCTAAAACCAAGGACTTTGCAAGTATTCTTCATTTTCAGCTTTTTCTTAATTATCTGTTGCTTTAAGGTCTCTCTATTTCTTTATAACACCTTTTTTTCTGTAAATATTTTATTTGCACCATTATGACTTTTTCATTATTAAACCCTATTTTGAAAATCATTGAACTGTCCCTAAGGCTTTTAATGCAAACTAAAGAATCCCTGTCTCTTGAAGAGTGCTACTGTATTACAAATCTCTGAATATACCTGTCTGTGGTGACAGTGTGTGTTACAGACGTTTATTCACAAATCATAGTTGCTATTGTTAAGACTGTGAGTTTCCTCCTTCTCAGTAAAAAGGCGGTGGTGGTAGCTTAAAGTGGAGTTCCACCCAAAAGGGGAAGTTCTGCTTTAAAGACTGGTCCCTCCACTCCCCATTAAGGATTGGCACCTTTGGCGAGCGGGTACCTGAAATTGACAGGTACCCGCTCCCACTTCTGCTGCGATCGTCTAGGTGATCGGAAGCAGAAGTTGTCCTACCACCCCCCCTCCCCGTAGTCTTCCACGTCCCAGAAGACTACAGGGCCATTCAGGAAGCGCAGCACTACTCGCGCATGCGCAGTGGGTACCCAACTGTGAAGCCGGAAGCTGTCACAGCCGGGTGCCCACACTGAAGATGCCGGCACCTGGAACACCAGACGGCTGGTGAAACAGGCTGCAGGGAGGACACCGCGGGATCGTGGGACAGGTGAGTGGCTATTTTTTAAAAGTCAGCAGCTACAGTTTTTTTAGCTGATGACTTTAAGTTTTTTATAGTGTGAGCGGAACTCCGCTTTAAAGAGTTAATTGCTTAGTTAACCTAGCCCAGTGACAATTGCTCTAAGGCTGCAGCACCTAGATTGTGGTCCCGTGAGCTGGAAAATCTCTGTGCAGGGCGCAGCTGAGAGTGGCATTGTTACGGAAGTGACAGCGCGGTGTGAGATTGTCCGGTCCTTTGTCACGAGTTGGTGAGAAGGGAAGGGATCGGGCATCGCATTCGTCACACCCTGGATCACACACATGGGCCTAGCCAGGAAGATTTTCAGTTGGACAATCTAGTCAGTGATATGTCATTGGATAAGGGACAGGTGAGTAAAAAGCCAGTTAACACCAGAACGCGGTACGGGGCAGGTGCGTTCTGTGAGTGTTTTTCACACTGCGCTCAAAACACACTGCTGTGGATGCCAATGTAATGTTAATGACACCCCAAACACAGAACACAAGCGTAGTGCGTTTGAACACACCACATTTTTTAAAGTAGTGAATGCATTCCAATGCAGTTTACATAGTTAGTCTGGCTGAAAAGACAAAAGTCTAGTTCAACTATTAAAAAAAAAAAAAAAAAGTTATAATCCTATACCCACAGTTGATCCAGAGGAAGGCAAAAAAGCATGACCCAATTTGCTCCTGCAGGGGAAAAAAATCCTTCCTAAACCCCCGAGAGGCAATTGGATATTCCCTGGATCAACTTTATCTATAAATGTTATATCCAGTTATATTCTGTGTATCTAAGAAAGAATCCAGGACTTTTTTAAAACAATCCACTGAGCTGGACAGAACCAAGTCTATTCCACATTTTCTCAGCTCTAATGCAGGCCATAGACGGGCCGAAAACCGGCCATTTAAAAAAAAAAAAAAAAAAAATGAAAAATGGGTCGTTCAATTGGCCGACGTTACCACCAACAGTAAAACAATCGGCCGATTGACCCTTCTACGGCCGTCATTTTTACTTCTGTCCCTGCAGAGAGCTCCGCTATTATATTTTACATGAATGAAGTATTGCGGTTGCAACAATGTATCCATTTGTATCCATTTCGGATACAGATGTTTTTATTCAGATACAAATAGATACATTGTTGCAACCGCAAGATTTTTCATATAAACTATAATAGCGGACTGGAATTCTTCTTCTCTTTCTTCTTCCTCTTCTTTTTCTTCTTTTTCTTCTTTTTCTTTTTCTTCTTCTTGCAGGTCACGGCTCATGCGCTGATTTTTTTATCGGTAAAACGAACAGCCGATTTGCCCATCATTGCCGGGAAAATCGGCCGATTGTCAAAATCGGCCATGAATTTTCCAACTTTACCAATAAAAAAAATGTGACGAAACCCAAAAAACGGCCGACCAATTAACCCGCTAACAGTGCGAAAATCGCCCGATTTTCGACCCGTCTATGGCCTGCATTACTGTGAAGAAACCTTTCCGTGTTTGGAGATTAAATCTCTTTTCCTCCAGAAGTAAAGAGCGCCCCCTTGTCCTCTGTGATACCTCAGGGTGAATAGCTCTACACCAAGTTCACTATATGAACCACTGATGTATTTATACATGTTGATGATTTCAGTTCATTAAAATGAACGGGCTGCAAAATCGCACCACACGGGTGGTTGGCTGGCAATATAAAAACTGGCAGGGGTTATAACCCTCCCTTACTCTATCGAAAAATGGAAAAAAAAAAAGTTTTGCCTTTAGGCCTACTTTAACCTAAATACATTTATAGTGATTTTTGAAAGCTCTTCAGTTCCCTATGCCTCTTTTAATGACTTTTTTTTTTTATTACCGGAAAACACCGGAAATTCCTTTTCGTAGCCCCAGTGACATCATTTCAGGGGCTACAGTGCTCTTTTTGTCCTGCTGCCACAGCCTGGAGAAGGAATACAAAAAGTCACCATGGCCAGCAGGACTTTTTTTCATTGGGGGAATACAGTTTTGGCACCTCCAGAACTGAATGTATGTATTGGCAAGGGGTGCTGGGGTGTGCTGGAAGGTCTATTGATGCTGGGGGATGTATTGTCACTGGAGGGGAGCAGTTGCTACTGGGGAGGTCTATTGATGCTGGGGAATGTATTGTCACTGGAGGGGAGCAGTTGCTACTGGGGAGGTCTACTGATGCTGGGGGATGTATTGTCACTGGAGGGGAGCAGTTGGTACTGGCGAAGTCTATTGATGCTGGGGGATGTATTGTCACTGGAGGGGAGCAGTTGCTACTGGGGAGGTCTATTGATGCTGGGGGATGTATTGTCACTGGAGGGGTGCTGGGGTGTGCTGGGGAGGTCTATTGTTGCTGGAAGGGATCTACTATTGAAGGAGGGGTTTGTTGATGCTGGCTGCTGGAGGGCCTATTGAAGCTAGCTGCTGGTAGATCTGTTGTTGCTGCTGGGGGTCTATTGTTGCTGGGGTGGTATTTTGCTGTGGGGGTCCATTGTTTCTGGGGAATCTATTGTAGCTGCAGGGGGGTCTATTGCTGCTGGCTGCAATGGATCTATTTTACTGATTTTCTTGTTATCATTAACAAATTCCATGCAAATTGTTTAGCATCACAAAATGACACTTGGCTCTGTATTCTCTAAAAAGAACAGTGCTGGGAGGTGGGTAGGGGATGGCACCAAGGGACAGTGCTTAGAGGTGGATAGGGAGCAGAGACAAGAAGTGACTCAGAAGGACCTATTTTTTTAGAAAAAAAGCCCTGATGGCCAGTCTTCTTTCTAGGTCATGTGACTATCTCTGTGCTGTCAATAACAACACCTGAAAGGAGATAGACACGGGCAGTGCTGACAAAAATCAAGGAGGGTACTCAATGGTGACAAAGCTGCAAACTTTCCTCTTCTGCTGCCAGCGTGATTGTACAGCATTTAACTAGGTGACAACGCTGCAGTGATTTCATTGCAGAGGAATCTACGTTGTCACCTTGTTGAAGGAAGTGCCTGGCAGTGGCAGGATCACAAATTGATTTTATTAGGACAGAAAAGGCTGATTGCATTTAAAATTTATTATATAGTGCGCTTTTATAAGTTTGTGATGTTTCACCGGTAAATGTTAACATTTCAGCCAACCAGGGGCATCACGTAAACGTAAAACTTTCTACTTTAAACAATCAATGTCTAATACAGATTTTTATATACTGGATACATATACTGTATATGTAATATATTTCTCTACCTGTTCTGCATTGGTAAAAGAACAGCTGTTCCAGTAGTCATTTGCTCTTACAATAAACACAGCACACAGGCCAATAAACAAAGCGGCAGACCTATTCCTCCAATACAAACACAGCACACTTGCCTAAACAGCTCACACAAACACACACTTATCACAGACATATTAGACAAATATGTGCACATAACACCTATGTGCTGTATAAACTGACACAACATGGAGGAGCAGAGGGGATAAAAAAATATATAACACATAAAACGTGCGTTGTATAACATTATTATTATTATTATTATTATTATACAGTATTTATAAAGCGCCAATAGTTCGCTCAGCGCTGTACATTACAGAGGGGGACAGAACATGTGACAGAACAATACCAATACAATGCAAAACATGAGGGGATCGAGGGCCCTGCTCTTTCGAGCTTACAATCTAGGAGGGGGGGGATGGTGGCACAGGAGGAGATAGCTGTGGGGGATGGAGTGGTAGGAAGAGTGGAGGAGGTCGGTCAAGTTAGCAGGGGGTGGGGTAGGCTTCCCTGAAGAGGTGGGTTTTCAGGGTGCGCCTAAAGGAGAGGAGAGTAGGTGATAATCTGATGGGTTGGGGCAGGGAGTTCCAGAGGATGGGTGACACCCTGGAGAAGTCCTGGAGGCGGGCATGGGAGGAGGAGACCAGAGAACTAGAGAGAAGGAGGTCTTGTGAGGAGCGGAGTGTACGTGCTGGGCGGTACTTGGATATTAGGTCAGTGATGTAGTTCGGGGCAGTATGGTGGACAGCTTTGTACGTCAGTGTTAGGATTTTGAATTTGATCCGTTGCGCAATCGGAAGCCAGTGGAGGGATTGGCAGAGGGGGGTGGCGGAAATGGAGCGGTTGGAAAGGTGAATGAGTCTGGCAGCCGTATTCAGGATGGACTGAAGCGTCGATAGCCAGCGGCGAGGCAGGCCAGTGAGGAGGGAGTTGCAGTAGTCGAGTCATGATATGATGAGGGAGTGGATGAGCTGTTTAGTGGTTTCTGGGGTTAGGAACGTGCGGATTTTGGCGATGTTGCGGAGGTGGAGTCTGCATGAGTTTGTTAAAGAGTGGACTTCGGGCTGGAAGGATAGGTTGGAGTCCAGAATGACACCAAGTACTCTGGCCTGCAGGGCGGGTTTGATGGTGGCGTTGTTGGACATGATGGAGAAGTCAATGGGGGGTGGTGTCCGGGCTGGAGGGAAGACAAGAAAACATGACACATAATGAATGTCACATGCCGGCAAAGAGTATACATGAGATAATATAGCATAATCAGTACTGAGATAAAGTATTATGGAAAAGATATTGGGAATCCCTGTGTCCATTCTGCTTTTAGGCTCCAGAGGTATAACGTTGTCCTGCTAAGTGCAATAAAAGAAAATTGTATATTTGTAACGTTTTAATTAAAGGGAAGCTGTCACTTTGCCCATTAAGGGCAAAAAAGAAAAGTGTTATTAACCTCCCTAGTGGTCTGATTATGTCAGTATTTTTGTGCTCAAAGCAGTACATTGTTTTCAATGGAAATGTGTTGTTTTTTTTTATTGTAGGCCTGTAATTCTTGGGAATAACTCACTGAGATCTGTCCGAACAAGAGTCTAGTAAACATCCCGGGTATGATAAAACTTGAAACATGAAATCATAAATTATAATATAATAAATAATCTTCAAAAATAATAATAATACATTTAATTTAATAATATAATCAAACCAAAAACACTGAAATCTTAAATATAGAGCGCCAAGTTCGCACATCACTGAGCTCAATCGCAGAATCGTTTTTAGTGTCTGATGACGAATTTCCCCCACGAATCATTATCACTCAATTCTGCAAGTGGTTCTAATTTACTATCGCTGTTCTCTAGCTGGTCTAAAACCGATTTTTACATAAAGGGACCGCTTTTTGGACGCCATGGACATTTCTAGTTTCCAGGCAGAAAGAACAGTAAAAATGCAGGCAGGGCAAAGGACAAAGCACTCGGGACAAAATGTATGTGAAATGGTTTGATACAGTAATGTTTTACTATGTGATTTTAGTGATTTTAGTGAATGTCACTTTTCCACATTTGTAAATTTCCCGCCGTTCCATCCCCCGTACATCCTGACGATCGCAGGGAACGGAACCCGGAAGACAGATGCCGGCATCGGCCAGAGGACATTGCCGGGGACACTGCAGGGGGGACATCACGGGAGCGCAGGACAAGGTAAGTGCAGAAGAGAACCCGGAGCAATGCTGCAAGGTATTCCCAAGCGTAGCTCGGGGTTACTTGTTGTGGTGCTGAAACTTTACCCCGAGCTACACTCGGGAATACCTCCAGGGGGGTTAACAGAAGCATTTTAGTAGAGTAGTGCCATTTGCTATTTTATAGGGGGCAATGACAAAATCATCCAGGACAAGTTTGACATTTTTCACATATATGTGAAAATCAGCATTTTTTTGCTACAAAATTACTTAGAACCCCCAAAATGGTGGCTGTGGCAATTTTTATGTCGCACGATACTTGTGCAGCCATTTATCAAATGCAAATTTCCAGGAAAAAATACACTTAAATGCCTTTTTTACACAATTTTTGTAAAATATAAAATGCGATGTTGCACCGAGTAAATAGATATCAAACAATAGATGTCAAGATATAAAATTTGGCAAGTCAGAGAAATGGTAACAAACTACAGCATCTAAAAATTTCCATAGGTGACACTTTAATAACCACTTGCCTACCAGGCACTTTAACCCTCTTCCTATCCAGGCATTTTTCAGCTTTCAGCGCTGTCGCACCTTGAATGACAATTGCGCGGTCATGCAACACTGTACCCATATGAAATTTATATCATTTTTTGAGACAGATAGAGATTTTTTTTGGTGGTATTTAATCACCACTGGGTTTTTTATTCATTTATAAACAAACCAAAAAACAACAGAAAATTTTGAAAAAAATTAGTATATTTTCTCCTTCACTGATGTGCGCTAATGAGGCTGCAGTGATGGGAACTGATAGGCTGCACTGATGGGCACTGATGAGGAGGCACTGATGAGGAGGCACTGGTAGGAGGCACTGATGGGCATTGACAGGCATCACTGGTGGACATTCACAGACATCACTGATGGGCACTGAAAGGCAGTACTCATATATGGCACTGATAGGCGGCACTGATAGGCGGCACTGATAGGCAGCACTGATAGGCAGCACTGACTGGCACTGATAGGCGGCACTGATGGGAACTGATAGGCGGCGCTGACTGGCACTGATTGGCAGCACTCATAGGCGGCACTGACTGGTACTGATAGGTGGCACTGAAAGGCAGCTCAGATGGGCACTGATATGTGGCATTGATTTGCACTGATGGGCAATGACAGGTGGCACTGATGGGGCTACACTGATCACCAGGGCAATGACCATCAGTGCCCTGATGATCAGTGTAGATGTCCCCTCTGAGGAATGCCGATTACCGGCTCTCCTCTCCGTGAGGAGAGAAATGCCGATAACCGGCATTTCCTTATTTACATGTGATTGGACACAGCTGATCACATGACAGAGCCAAAGTCAGTGGCTCTTTCCGCTGATCAGTGATCCACTGTGTCCCAGGGACACAGCGCACCACCGATCGCCGTGCTGCGGTCCCCCAGAACAAGAGAACCACCTTGCACCCATCATTTCCTTATATGGCGGGCAGGAGGCGGTTAAAAGCCTCCAGGCTTCCAGTTTAGAGTTTAACGTGAACTCTGGCTCTAGAAATATTGTTCTCATTCAGACGTTCCCAGTGATACCTCACATGTGTGGTGTGATCACCGTTTACATATGTGTGTGGGGCCTACGTGCGCATTTCCATTTGTGTGTGAGCACAGAGGGACAAGAGTGCTGTACATTTTTTTTTTTGTATTTAAAATTTTTTTTTACAGTGTTTACATTTTTTTTCTCATTCAACTTGATTGCTATCACAAGGGATAAATAGCATACCTTGTGATAGCTTGGACAGTGACAGGTACTCTTTATTGAGAGATCAGGGGTTAAAAGACCTCTCTCTCTACTCTGTCCTGTCAAGCAGCCGATCAGACTGAGATCGGTTGGATCGGCTACTACCCTGGTACCAGCAAAGGAAAACACTGAACTGAACTTGCTTTCCAGGATGTTTATATATGTAGTCTGGACAGCAAGAGGTTAAAGTGATAAAAAATACTTAAATTGTTTTTTTTTTAAATAACAAACATGTCATACTTACCTGCTCTGTGTGAAGGTTTTTCACAGAGCATCCCCGATCCCCCTCTTCTTGGGTGCCTTGCCAGCTCTCTAGGCTCCACCCCCTGTCCAGTGCGCCCAGAGCAAGCCACTTGTTCTGGGGGCACTCGTGCGTGCTCGCTCCTGAGCCTATCCAGTGAGTCCATAAGGGTCCTTTCACACGGGTGAGAAGCGCTGCGCTTTGTGAATGGACCCGTAGTCTTCTGGGACCTGTCACGTGTCCCAGAAGACTACAGGGAGGGAGGGGAGGAGGACAACTTCCGCTTCCAATCGCCTAGATGATCGCAGCGGAAGTGGGAGTGGGTACCTGTAAAATCTGGGTACCCGCTCCCCAAAGGTGCCAATCCTTAATGGGGAGCAGGGGACAAAGACTTAAAGCGGAACTTCCCCTTTTAGGAGGAGCTCCGCTTTAAGTGTATCTATGGTCAAAATGTAAAATCATATATTAATTTCCACATTGGACTTCAATCATTTCCAGCTTACTCCTATTATTCTGAATGAACTGGAAGTTTGTAAACTTACTTTGTGAAGATCCCCAAACATTTACTTCCTTGAATTCCAAGAGGTCAATAAAGTTAATTTATTGCTTGTTATTTTATATATATATATATATATATATATATATATATATATATGCACACAGTGGCTCCTTTCACTTTTCACAATTTTTTCACAATTATGTGCCACTTTGTGTTGGTCACATAAAATCCCAATAAAAGACATTTACGCTTCTAGTTGTAACATGACAAAATGTGGAAAATTTCAAGGGGTATGAATACTTTTTAAAGGCACTGTATATATATATATATATATATATATATATATATATATATATATATATACAGTTGTGGCCAAAATTATTCAACCCCCAATGCTGTAAAGGGGTTTAGGGACTATAGTGTACATTTGGAATTGTATTCAGAATCAAATCCTACAAGGACGTTGTAACTACCCAAATGCAACTAAAATGACATCAATTGTTTATGTAATACAGTAGTAAATGGTTCTTATGTGGTTTCTTCATTGCCACAATTATTCAACCCCTTAAAGACTACCACTCTGAAGAACAGAGGTTCATACAGGTGCTTTCCATCAGGTATTGAAAACACCTGTGGATGTCACCGAGCAGCAATCAAGCATAATAAGCACCAATTAGGCAGCTTTAAAATGACTGTGATACTCAGCTCCTTCTAGACATTTACTGGTGTGGTTACAAACATGGTGAAGGCAAGAGAATGGTCCAGGAAGACAAGAGAAGAGGTGATTTCTCTTCACAGGAAGGGCAATGGCTATAAGAAGATTGCAAAGATGTTAAACATACCAAGAGACACCTTAGGAAGCATCATTCGCAAATTCAAGGCAAAGGGCACTGTTGAAACGCTACCTGGTCGTGGCAGAAAGAAGATGCTGACTTCGACTGCTGTGCGCTACCTGAAGCGTAGAGTGGAGAGAAGTCCCCGTCGTGTGACTGCTGAGGAACTGAGAAAAGATTTGTCAGATGTGGGTACAGAAGTTTCAGCCCAGACAATAAGACGCACACTGCGTAATGAAGGCCTCCGTGCCAGAACTCCCAGGCGTACCCCCTTGCTGTCTCCAAAGAATAAGAAGAGTCGACTGCAGTATGCCAAAAGCCATGTGGACAAACCACAAAAGTTGTGGGATAGTGTTCTGTGGACTGATGAAACAAAATTAGAACTGTTTGGGCCCATGGATCAACGCTATGTTTGGAGGAGGAAGAACAAGGCCTATGATGAAAAGAACACCTTGCCTACTGTGAAGCATGGTGGAGGGTCAATCATGCTTTGGGGCTGTTTTGCTTCTGCAGGTACAGGGAAGCTTCAGCGTGTGCAAGGTACCATGAATTCTCTTCAGTACCAGGAGATATTGGATGGAAACGTGATGCAGTCCGTCACACACCTGAGGCTTGGGAGACGTTGGACCTTTCAACAGGACAATGATCCCAAGCATACCTCCAAGTCCACTAGAGCATGGTTGCAGAGGAAAGGCTGGAACATTTTGGAGTGGCCATCGCAGTCACCAGACTTAAATCCGATTGAGAACCTCTGGTGGGACTTAAAGAAAGCAGTTGCAGTGCGCAAGCCTAAGAATGTGACTGAACTGGAGGCCTTTGCCCATGAAGAATGGGCGAAGATACCCGTAGATCGCTGCAAGACACTTGTGTCAAGCTATGCTTCACGTTTAAAAGCTGTTATAACTGTAAAAGGATGCTGTACTAAGTACTAAGATTGAATGTCACTTGGGGGTTGAATAAAACTGATAATGCTGTGAGCACAGAAAAGACATTTGTGGTTATTTCATTATAACTGTTATGTTATATTTGTCTGACCTACAAGTGCCTCTTTAATGTAAATGTAAGCAAGATGACTGAATGATCAAAAGCAATGTCAAACTGGCCAAAACACTCAATTTCAGTGGGGGTTGAATAATTTTGGCCACAACTGTAAAACAGCTTATAGCCTGGCCACAGGTTTATTTTTAGTGCTGCCAATTCAATTAAGTGAATGGCCAAGTCAATTAAGAAAGTTGTATCTTGCTGCAGGCATAAATTCCTTCTATCTAATCCCCCAGCACTGGATGCAGGCTCTTAAGGGACATAGACCTCTTCATAAGTTCCAGTCTTCATAGAAAGGATGAAGAAGCCACTCTAATGCGTTTCACTCCTACATGGAACTTATTCGTAGACGTGTTAGTGGTGGTAACACCAGATGGACTAGTCTGTGCAATGTTTCTTCTATAAACCTGAATACTGGCTTTTAAATGTTGAGCTGCTTCCTTCCCTTTATTTTTTGCAATGCATTCATTGGCTTCAATTCATTGACAGCAACAAAAATGGTGATGTGAGCGACTCTATAGCTGTTCCAGACTGGCTAGCTTGAAGATGCCTTTCCAGGTCACTTCTCCAGCTTCCAGTCACTCATACAGCTCTCATTATTAGTCATAATTTCAAAGATGACCTCCAATAATTTCACCTGTGACTCTATGAAGTGACCTTGAAGCTATGACCCATCGGTGGTGCCTAAGGAATAGTTTTAGACTGAGAAATGTCATAGATTTTTCTGCAAGTTCCACCCCATGAATTATGAAAGCGCAATTCCACAGCTCAACGCGATGAGCTGAAGTCATATTATGCCCTTCATGTTCACGCTAATATCCACCCACACACCTCGTCTCTGCTATAACCAGAACTCACTGCTGATTCCCAGCCACACCCTGCTCCTGAACTCACTATTACACAGCTCTGTCGGCCTCCTTTTTAATCTCACGCACACAAAGCAAAGGACTCCACCAGGGTGTAATTACATGCAGAGCTGCATACGCGAGATCCTTGGCTGCCTCAGGAATAAACTATATTGGATTTAGATACCGAACATACAAAGAATATTCATATCATTCGTGGCTCTGAAAACTGTGGCAAAGATGTCATGATTATAAACCAGTCATAGCTTGTGTTTTAAAATTAAAGAAATTGTTTTGTGGGGCAGGAAAAAATCGATTACTGGCAGGTCACTTGCCGTAGGGTCTGGAAGGGTAAAAGGGCCCCTTTACTAATTGGGTATTTGAAGTTTAAAAAGGGGGACAGTTGTGAGCCCTGGACTGATGGGAGATCGGAAGACAGAAGGTGGAAACTTCGCACACATCTTTACCCCTGGTTCACATAGCCGCGTTCCTGTGGGCACGGGAACGAGAGCCCATTCATTTGAATGGACTCCCGTGCCCCGGGACACACAGGGAAGAAGTCCCTACACTTTTGAAAACGCAGCCCGCACGGTAACCTCGGTTCCCAGTACGGTTGTGATTTCCAGTGCAGGCGGCGTGCCATTAGAATTAATGGCACCCGCCCGCGGGTCCACATTCTTCTGTGTGGGTGATTTTTGTTCGGATCTGCAGCGGCACCACCCGCACATATGTGAACCTAGCCTTAGAGAGGTAAAGATACGGCTTCAGTCTGAACTCCTCCAGATTATGCTCCTTTGACATGTATGCCATCATAGAGAATGAACTGATGGAAACTGCAAATCCCTCTCCAAGTCATCTTCTTATGAACAAGGGAAATCTCACTCTGTGTTCTCCAACTGTCCCTCTTTTCAGTTAGCAGATCTCAGTAGATCCCACCGCTCTAAAGGCTCTGCTCACCTCCTCCACTGCAGAGCACATCGGGTTCCAACCAAACAACCCTGTTCATTCTCTATATGGATCCAAGGCATGAAACGGATGAGCACACTTGTTAGAAACCGACTTTATTAACCACTTACCGTCGACCTTGCAGATATATGCAGCCTCTCAGAGTGTGGGCTTTAACTAAGGTTGCCACCTCACCCCTTTAAAACCAAACACATATTAATTACACAGCTTCTG